CATAGACATTTTCTGGAAAGCTATACAATTTCCCTAAATTCTTCTATACAATGGTTGCCTTAATGTGTTTGTATTTTGTTTAAGAAACAGTTAGCACCTTAAGTTAATTTCCTAGTTTCTTGTATCCAGCCAATTGGTCACTTATCAAATAAAATCATGACCTTTTTCTTCTATAATTATGTAATACTTATACAGAAAAAGAAACTTTTTTATTATGTTGTTAAATCCATATATGTTCAGGACAGCTGCTTTTAGAGTCTCTTGGTACATCAAAATCTAGATATGTTTGGCTTCTAATCATTTTTAACAAAAATCTCTGTAAGATTTTTATAATATACCTAAGGGGTACAAAAATCTCATGAGCACCTTATTAACTGATTCGTCAGTTACAGTAACAACAACAGAGCTTCATGGTTAAAATTATGTCTTGTGAACTTCTTTCACAGTAAAGATTCTGCTAATACACTGCATTAACTTGGAAGTAAAGCTTGTCCTTTTGTTAAATTTTTGGATTCTCATATTCTCATTCTTTCTCTCACACACACACACACACACACACCTAACATCAAACACAATATTACTGTCCTTTTGTTTAGAGAACTCTATTTAATACGTGTTTGGCAAAGAGAAAGATGTGGAATTTCTAACATCACTTCAGATATTACTGTTACCAATCAATTATGTCGCAGTTTTTCATGCTACTCAAACTTAATAAAGCCTTTTGTTTGTGTTATTTTAACTTCAGATTGTTATTAATATTAATATTCTTCAATGTTCTCAGAAGCGTATTGTGCAGACCTTAATGACAAAGTGGAGAAAATTCAGAAAACTGAAAATATCTTTCAAGAAAAAACAGTGATATTTTATATCATGATATGTAGTTAACAATATTCACAGAAGTGCTTTATATTAAATTTACAGTAGCATGCACCAAGGGCATTTTTATTCTTTCATATCTTTTATAAAATTATCCCTGATTTTAATACCTATTATTCAACTTTTTCTGTATTATATTCTCAAACTTAAAAAAAAACTTAATGATTACTTAGGCTATCTTTGGATAGGTAGGCAAAAATTTGAGCATTTAAAAAAGGATAATAATAACAATAACTAATAATAATAAATAACAAAAATTTTCATCATGCTATATATTGAACCAATGTACTTACTCATCTCTGCTCAAGATTTTAATATCTGAAAAGTCTCTGTTATTTAATGAGTAAGTATCCCACAGGAAGCAATCATTTGTTATATAATAAGGTGTTGTAGATTGCAACATTCAGAATATCTAGTAGAAAAAAACTGGCTACCCATTGTTATACCTTTTTTTATATAACAGATTGTAAATGTAAAAGTACCAAATATCACCACTCTCATTGAGCTCATAAGAATTGTTTAAACAAAATGAAAATATTACTGAAAATGAAAATGAACTTAAACAGTTTAAATAAGGGATATGTTCTAAAATATCTTTATCACATTTCTTATTTGCACTTTATAGAAAGCCCTTAGAGCCATTCTTGATTAGGTTTATAGGCTATCCAGCCTGATATTGTGCTTATATAAGTAGTAACAAAAATTGCATTGTGAAAGGCCATAGTTGGCCTGATGGATTTCATTTTTAACAGTTTCATCCAGTGAATTTGACCTTTCCTTTAAAATTGATCTTGGCCTGGTTATTTATTATTTTTTTTGATGTCCTTTTGGATTATGTCTTAGTGTGTGACAATTTTTGAGGTTCTAAAACAAACACCAAGGAATCATCCATGATTACCTTAAGAATTGAATACGACTACATGCCTTCTTGACTATGAAAGACCACATTGTTTAATCTGGTCTTTTGCCTTTTACCTGCTCCAAATGACGTGATCTTTTTCTAACAGTCTGGGAGTTGGGCTAAATCCATAACTATCTTGCTCTTATTGTCTTTATTTTAGCATGATAAACTGAAAATGCAAAAAGGTGTAGGGAATATTTCTAACAATAAACACATAAAGAAAGAAGCATTTTTGAGACAGTATGATACAAGTGCCTAGGTTCTTGAAATATGATAGACAAAATATGCATACTAACTAAAATTAATCAAAGTATTGGGAAATATTTGAAAACCAAAAACATACTTCACAGAAGTGACCTAAAGGAAAATTATTGGAATGGCTTAATTGTGGTATACAAAATATGCCCTGGTTTGCTGGAGAGATTAGCAGATAAATTAAATATATTCTTTATATTCACTGAAAACAATGAGCCAGGAGAATCCTATGCCCATGATTTCTTTACAAAGGGAGGCATTGCAAGTATTAGAGTATGTTATAAAAAATGTTCAAGGCATTCTAGACTTCATAAATAAGCTAAAGTCCCAGATATTGTAAGTTGAGGGATATGAAAGAACAGAAGGGTGACTATAACCCTCATGATTAAATTGTTTATATATATGTTCCGATACCAGAGGATTAAGACACATTCCTTTTTAAGAATACTTGTAATATGCAATTTTAGAGTATGTTTTGATGAGACTCACTCACTATGCAAGACAGAAAGAAAACACTGAGCAGAGCAACTTCATTAATAACCAGTTGTGATCTAACTCCTTGTTAGAACCACCCAATATTAACCTCCCATTCATCCTAAATCTTTCACACACTTCTCAGTCCACTAAAATTAACAAAAATCTATCTTTCCCAAGAAAATAGCCCATTCAAGTTGTTTTCCCATGCTCTCTCCACCTTTTTATTTCTACAAGATCATGGTGTTAGAAACTGATTTTTTGCCAGGTCTTACACAGTTCTCAAATTGAAGTAATATGTAATTGGTAAGTAGGTTTAAGTTTCTTTAGCAAATGTCTCTCAGAAAAAGAAAGCAGATTAAAGCTTTCTAAGCTTGACTCCAGAAAATAATAGGAATAGAGATGGAATAGCTGCAGAGTTGTTAAACTCTGGAGGAATGGCAATGAGTCATCCTTTTATGTTTTGTAGTAAAATCAAAAAAAAATTATCTGACACAAATGTAAACAATAAAAGCCTTTTTTTATTAGATTACTGAAAAACTATGCTTCTTCTCCGCATTTGTAGAACAAAACCAAGGCAGAAACCAAAGAACAGTTTCCCCAACTTTCTTCCCACATAATGCAATGAAAATTATATCACCACTGTAGCACACAGCCCACCATTATAAAATGCAAAATTAACATAAAAGACCATGACTGTCATCCCAACATATTGCCCTTAGAACAGGTTCTACAATAATCATTCCACAGGTGTCCAACTGGACTCAGCCTTGGACACAAGTTAGAACTTAGACAGAAAGAAAACTTCCCATCCAGGTAACATGGTTCCTTTCCTTGAATAAGAGCCTCCTATGCCTCTATGCAGAGAAAATGGCCTAGAAGAGGGCCTATGAAAAGAAGTGGTATGGGAGCTCCATTGACTGTTTAGGGGACCTCCCAAGTAAGAAATAACCAATATTTTTTACTTCCATCTAAACCACACTAAAACTTCAACTTCCTATAGTCTGCTTCAGGAACAGCAGTGTGAGAATGTGGGTCGGCCTCTTTCCTTCCTGTTAAAAAGCAAAATTATAATATCCAGAGTAATAAATTATGATCATTGTTTTTTAAGATGTTTAAAGAAGGTAGGGTATCTTGTATTGAAAAATGCCAATAATTAGGTAGCAATATAAATTTTTCAGGTTTTAGCCCCCTAAGATCAGAGAAGCTAAACTACAGTTTTCTAGAGAAAGAGGCTTATTTTCCTGGTGAAAAATCTGCCAGTACTTGAAGCAGTGAGAAGACCTATTTCTACAGTACAATAGGGCTGGCTATCTTTCAGTGGAAGCTGTCTGACTCCTTCGTCATTTGCACCTCCACCCCTTAACAATCCAAGGATTTTAAAAGGAAACATAACCAATGGTATTAAAAAGGTAAAACAAAAATAAAAAACAGCAGCAGAATACCTGATCCTACTTTCTTTTTGGCTCACACAATGTTAAAGATTGATTCTTTTTCTTATTCTTATTTTTAAATGATCTCCCTCTGTTTGTTTCTTCTAGAGAATTTTCGGACAGTTTTTCTGATTTTTAGTTTTTGTTATTTTATCTTTATCCTCTGATCCATCATTCCCTAAAACCAACTATCCCACAACCAACAGCATAAAACTACCATTTAGAATTTTTTATCTTTACTGCATTCTTTTCTCTGGTACCTCAAATTAGAATTCACCCTGATCTGGAACATGTTTATAAATTCACTGTATTTTAGCTCTCATGCTTATCCCCCAGCAGAAATGAGCTACTCCTTAAGATTATCAATAAACTATAAAAAAGGAAACAGAGTTATAAATTTCACAAATAATCCAACATTAAAATGAGGCAATGTTGTTACAGACATCTTTTACAGAGCCTTTCCTTTCTATCATTCATGCTTATAAACAAGAAGAGCTACAGAGAGAGAGAGAATCAGTGACTTGGTATTTGCAGCAGTCCTGGGACCAAAAAGTCTGGTTAAAAAAGCCATTCTTCTCTGAAGAAGTCTTGGCACTGTATCTAGTCTCAGATGTATTGGTCTGATTGATAGCCTGAAACCTTTAAATCCAGTCAGAAGCAGCAGAAAAGAGATCTTTGCTGTAGTGTTAATCCTGATAAGTTAGTATCTTCCATCTGGAAACACTGAGAATTGAGTATCAAATTAGTGGTTGTTCTTATAAAACTCCTAGCATGAAGGATGCCTCTATAAAGGTAAAACTACAAATTAGTTGGTGGACCATAAATGGATCTTGAGATTTTTAGAGACCTGTGAAATCATGGATTGGCCTCTTGCTGCTTCTGTAGCTCCATTTCGGCAGCTTTTTGTACTGCTACCTCCACCAGTAGCTGGAAGCTGCTTAAATCCTTGTACTCTTCTGCCCACATAGGTTCAGGAGATGTAAGCCAGGACCTAGTGGCAGAAATACCTACCTTTTCCTCGGGCTCAGTGCTCAGGAGGAGCTTCTGGCCTGGCGACACCTCTAGATCTTGCTGCTTTTCCTCTGACTCCTGGCCCATTGGGTGGGGGCTCCCCGGTGAGCATTGCATCTTGTCTGGATCTCTGGGCCCTGAGGTGGCCTGCGTAGATAGATGGGTGCTCTGCAGGTGAGTCGCATTAGCAGCCTTGCCTTTTTGGTGGTACAAGATTATCTGGTGGGGGTCGTTTCCATTCTGCTGAAGCATTGCTGGAAGAATGCGTCTACGGGCATTGACAAACCAGTTGGAAACCTGCAGGAAAGACAAATTGGTCTGCTCCGACAGCATTAGCTTCTCGGCTTCTGAAGGATAGGGCTTTAGCTGGTGATCACACAGCCAGTCACGGAGGATCTTCACAGACTCAGTTGGGAAGTACCTTTTTTGTTTCTTCTTGTTGTCTAATGAGGCAAGAACTGTATTTGAACTCGTGTTACCCTTTAACACAACTGAGGTGCCTTGGTCCTGGATTTGGGTCTTCACCGGGCTTTCTTTAGCAGCCTCCATGTTCATAAGGCCTGTCTTTCCTCCCCTGGGAAGCAGGGGATGGCTAAGTTAGGACTAATGCAGCCAGTGAAGAAAGGATGGGCAGGTTCCCAAAGGAAGGCTCACCATTTGCCTTCCAGGCTGACAAACAGTGTTGGTAAGCAATGCGACAGTGAGCTTTGTGACATCACATCCACTGTTACGCTTGCGTCCCAACTGCTCTCCCTCTCCTTCCTGCGGCCTGCTCCTTCCTGGTCCCTCCCCTTCCTGCTCCGCTCTTTCCAGGATGTTCTTCCAGTTTTTTCTAAAGGCTTAAATGCACTTGTTTTCCCTCCATCAGTTTATAAACTCCGCAGAATTTTATTTCTATGCTGCTGGCACCATTTTCTGATGACTAGTGAACTCTGATTCTATTAGTTAAATCTGACAGAATTACTTTCTGATTTTGTTCTCATTTTATTCTTCCTTATTATAGCATCATTGGCTTATCTACATATATCAGAAGCAACTTATTTCTCAGATATTGACCTCAATAAAAATGAGCTTGAAAGGTGTACCTTCACTCCTCCCTTCGATATTCAAAGCTGATTTAAAAGTAATTTTTAACTAGATATTTATTTTTGACACTTCACCCATTCAATTTTTCTTTTCTAACTTCTTGAAATGTTTGGCTTTGATGTGACTTCACTGTACCCTTGTAGTCTTTAGGTCTGTACTTTGGGCTCTGATATCCAGTTGTGATGATTCTCTTCAGAAGAGAATTCAGAAATTCAGGGGTCTTTAAGAAACAGAGAACAGTATAGGATTCAAGAAACAATGGTTATCACAGACTTAGATTACTTAAATATTTGATAGTTTAAGTGTATGGAATTACTCTCTGTAAATTAGATGAAAATAATTTGTAAATTATTCATTTTAGTTTCCAATAACAAAAATAAGGGTCAGCTCCTTCAAGAACACTATGGTCCAGTTATAGTACAATCATGTATTCAGACTTCTCAAGGATACTATATGGTATTACTTATTATTAATTTGAGATATTTTCAGAGGAAACTCTTAGCCATCATATTAAACATCATGTATTATCCACTATTTCTATTGGTAGGGGCAATATAATTTCACCCTTAAGAGTTCTCATTTGGTGTCCCTGGACTGGACATAAGAATATTGTCTAATGATCCTTTGGCTGTAAGTAACCTTAGAGGTGTTGACTTTCATAGCTAAAAGTACACTGTAAGGGATACCTACTGAAGTACACAGTCAAATTTAATAGATATCTTAGCAAAGCATGTAATAACCTCTAAGTGTGTATGCTGGTTACAATTGAAGATCTCCCTTGGATTAATCTAAAAGAGTACTCTACTACTTCCTGGTCTTTTGGGATATGGGACAAAGATAAGATTTTCCACTCATAGTGAGAACTCACTTCCTACAAATATTTCCCACCAATACATTCATGACCCATTTCCACCGAAACTACTCGTCTGTTAGTATGGTTTCTAGTAACGTATCCTCCCTTCCTTGTTGCTTCTATATGTTCTTTGTATTTCTGGGATTCAGACCTCTGCTGAAGGATTGACAGAGTTGTGCATATTTAAATCACTATGACATTTTCTTAGTGACACGATCTAGGTCCTTGGTTTTTAATGACTCTTTTTTTAATTCTCTTGAAAAGGAATATCATGATGGTTCAAAATCATCCCCAATAAATTTAGAGACTGTTTTTTCCTTTAATAAGAGCTTTAGGAATGTAGAGAAATCCAGAAAGTAGGCGAAAAATTGGGAAGATACCCACTAGTTTTGATCTAAAAAACCTAGTTTTGTTTCATGATTTAACAGTAGAAACACTGAATAGAACCTATATTACCTTTCTTCAAGTTTTTGATGCAAAATATGAGTTAACAACATTTCTAAGAGAGATATGGATTATTTGTATCCACTTCCTTTAAACTTCTAAAGAAGTCAAATTATCTAAATGGTTTCTATCAAATTTTTTCTTCCTTCATTGCTTCTTTTCACACAAAAACACCACAGGATCTTGTTGAAAACAATTAAAATTGTATATTTATAAGCTTTGATTTATTTACATATGACTGAAAAGTGTCTTCTCATGTTTTTATAATGAATAAACATGGTATTATGCTATAATATGCATCTTCAATCTCAAATTATGTAAGGCCACGAAAAGACTGAGCTTTTAAAATATCTTGTTGCTAATTGTTTGTAGTCATCTACTTGTAATTTGAATGTAAATTTGAGTATTCTACTTGCAGAGTTGGAAAAAAAAAGTGCTTATGTCTTTACTTCCAATAAATGGGATAATACAAAAGCAAATTGAGAAAACAAAAACAACACATCCCCCCAAAAAAAGCACAGAGAAGACAAGTAGTGATTTTACAGCATCTTACTATACTAATGGACAGTGACTGAGAAGGGGTATGTGGGGGGACTTGGTGAAAGGGGGAGCCTAGTAAACATAATGTTCTTCATGTAATTGTAGATTAATGATACCAAAATTTAAAAAAATTGATGGAGTGGTAATAGGACTTTGCCAACTCTGAAAATAAAGAATGTTAAGTGCATAAAGTTTATCATACTGTAAAGTATCTGGATAATTTCTGCTGGATAGTTTATATTTTGAAATGAAGGAACATTCAGGAAGCCAGACTAAATCCCCCTATATGAAGGAGTGATGGCAAGTTAGGAATAGGAAGTATAGGAAGTTCTAGCAAATCCAACTACTATACACGAATTTGGGGGAATGGAGATGGGAAGTATGGCATGACAAAATAGGAGACCAGTGGTATCCCACAACCTTAGTTAAAGGTCTAGAAATAAATGTATACACATATACACATATATAATTATTCTAAGGTATGCACATATATTTTATAAATATATGTATTTATGGACATACACATATACTATATATATAATTTTTCTGTTTTATATATATATATACATATATCTTACAAAAATTAAATGGAGTAATAATCAAGGAAGAAATAAAAGATAAAAGATAGTATCACAGAATTATCCCCTAATAAGATTTATGGACCTTACAGCTTTAATATCTAAGATTTTCCATAGCATAGATGTGAAGGAAGTGCTTTCCAATTCTTGTAAATCCTACATGATCCTGATGTGAAAATCTTACAAAGCAAGACAAAAAAAATTGCAGCAGATTCACTTATAAAATTATAAACATTAATAAATAAAATCTAGATTCATATTAAATCTAAAACATGAACAAATGGACTTTGATCTAAGAATTTAAATATGATTTAATATTGACTTTATACAGTTCTTCACATTAGTATGTAAAATTTTTTAAATTTTATCTTGATGAAGCTCAAGAGCTATTTTGCTGAATTTGAAATCAATTTCAGATAAACATACTATATTAAAATAAATAAGAATAGAATAATGCTTCCTTAACATAACAAAGACTCATAAGGAGATGAAATCACCAATACCCAGTTTCATACTCAATTGTAAAATAAAAATGATTTTTTAAATTTCATAAGCAAAGAAAACATATCTATTTTTACTACTACAATATTGCTTAAAACTTGGAACCAATGGAATTAAACAAAAATGAATGTAATGCATATAAAAAAGGAGGTAAAATAGCATTATTTATTGATGACATGGTAAGACATTTAGGCAATATTTTTAAATCAATTGACGTGCTATTAGAAATAATAACAGGTGAAGTGGCCAGTTATAAACAAATAAATGTTTAACTAATATATACCAACAATCATCACTTAGAAAATATATTGGGGACATAATTTAATCCATAATCATAACAAGAATAAAAATATAAAACACCTAGGCATAAAATTAGAAAGTATTATACAGAGCCCATACTAAGGCAAATATAAAATCCTATTCAGGAACACAAAATGAGCTATTAATAAAAACTGGGAAAATACATTTGTTTCTTGGGTAGGAAGTCTCTATTTTAATGATGTCAATTCTCTTTATCTTTGGTGTCTTTTAATCTATCAAAATCACAAGTGTCCTTTAACTTTTCACCGTCTAATCAACCTCCATTAACTTTTCACCTTATAATACATTTAAAAATATTTCTAAAATTCATCTGGAGAGGTAAATGTGTGATATACTATGGCACTTTTTTTTAATAAAAGTCAACTGTTGTGGATACATTGGTCCTCGCAGATGTTGTACTGTATTGTAAAGTATCAAGTAATTTTAAAAGTACAATAAACATGTAGGCATAAAGAGAACAATAAAACAAGCAGAATATGGTAATAGCCTTAAAGATATAATGGTACTTGTACATGATAGGTATGGCTTTCCTGATATTGATGAAGGATACTTACTCACTTAGAAAATAATGACTATTGCCAAGAACATACCACAGACATTGGGTACTTTCTGCCAGATATTTCATAGCTTTAAACAAACTAAAGAAACATTCAGCAAGATCACGGGAAGATGGCAGCGTGAGTAGTTCAGAGGAAATCTCCTCCCCAAAACATATATATTTATGAAAATACAATAAATACAACTATTCCTAAAAGAGACACCAGTGGATGCAGTACAACAGCCAGGATACATCTACATCTGTGAGAACTCAACATCACACAAAGGGGGTAAGATACAAGTAGCAGCCAGGCAGAACCCGAACGCTCCCCCACCCCAAAATCCAGCAGGAAGAAAGGAGTCAGAACGGAGAGGGAGTGAAAGCCCAGGACTGCTAAACAACCAGCTCTAGAAATCTGCACCAGGAACGCAGACACAAGGTGCACAGCGTGCTGGATATTAGAGAAAAGGAAAAGGAAAACCTGTGCACAGGTCCCCACAACTGGCACCCCTGAGACAAAAGAAAAGCGAGTGCTTTCTGCAAGTCTTAAAGAGACAGGGACCCCATAGCTGGACGAAATTGTCCAGGCAGCTGGGAATACTGGAGAAACGTAGGCTCCCTAAACCCCCGGGAGGCAGTGCAGCTCTGAAGCCCCTCATGGCACTAAGCAGCCTGCCAGTCATTCCTC